CGCTTAGAATTTTTTATGTGTATGTTCATCCATTTTCTCTGGCCTTGAAACCTAGGAAAATGCTTACAGGGTTTATATTTCAGTATCATCTCAGTGATTTTCATGGCTGCTTGGGCAGGTCATCTTGTCTCTTTAGTCCATTTCCTCATAGGTTAAAGGAGATGATGTAACATCCCCTTATAGTGTTAGTCATCGGAATTTTAGACATAATATACTTGCAGGGAAGATAAAACCCTGCCTAGGTCTTTCTGCCACAGAAGACTTGTACAAGTTGGGTGCTAGTGGGTCACGCCTATAATCCTAGCCACTCAGGAGGCTGAGTGAGATCTGATGATCACAGTTCAAAGACATCCTAGGGAAGGAATGTCTGTGAGATTTCTGTCTCTAATTAACCAGCAAAAAGCCAAAACTGGAGACATAGTTCAAGCGGTAGAGCACCAGTGTGAGAAAAAAAAAAAAGTAAAAAAAAAGATCCTGTTGTTTTGCTGGGTTGGTTTTCATTTTTGAGCAAACATTGTTCTCCCCCCTCTTCTCTGTCCATTTTCTTCTCTTATGATCTGCATTTAATGCTTGGAAGATGTTAGCCCCATTTGGCGACCTTAGCTCTCCCCTTGTAAAGTTGAAAACTGATACCTAGAGCATAACAGTTAATGGTCCTTCCAGGGAAAGCTGCTGAAATCCTGTGCATGTGAGAAAATGCTTTCTCAGTCACACGAATGAATGCTCTGTGCCTGTCTTCGTTTGGGTCCGTGCCTTTACTGGAATGCAGCAACTCTCTAGTATTCAGATGTCCTGCTTCTGGGACAGGGGGGTTGGGCGGCGGTTAGGGCTGCAGTTGGGTGAGCCCACACACTGACCCTGGACTCCTTTTTTCAGCAGGAAAAGAAACCAAAGGCAATTTTCATCGAACCGTCACCACTGGTGGATTTTTCATTCCAGCCTCCAAAAAGCACTCGAACAACACGGGCAGCTCCTGTGACCTCAGCAAGCAGGAAGGCGAGTGGTGTCAGGAGGGGATGCCAGCAGGGGCAGAGGGGGGCTTCGATGTGAGCAGCGACAGGAGCCAACCCCAGGGCACTCAGGTCCGGCCGCCACCAGAGCAGCTGAAGGTGTTCCGTCCGATCGAGGACCCCGAGAGCGAGCAGACAGCCCCTAAGATGCTCGGCATGTTCTACACTTCCAACGACAGCCCCAGCAAGTCTGTCTTCAGCAGCAGCCTCTTCCAGATGGAGCCCTCGCCCCGTCACCAGCGCAAGGCGCTAAACATCTCTGAGCCCTTTGCTGTGTCCGTGCCCCTCCGCGTGTCCGCTGTCATCAGCACCAACAGCACCCCATGCCGAACACCCCCCAAGGAGCTGCAGTCTCTCTCCAGCCTGGAAGAGTTTTCTTTCCAGGGTTCAGAGAGTGGGGCTTGGTCAGAAGAGGAGAAGCCCCAGGGGGCTGAGAGTTCCATAGGTAAAACATGGCAGAGTTAGTCTCTTTTCATTGCAAGACAGAAAAGCCACACTTGAACTTGGCTTGGTGGCTTATTGTTGGTTGTTTTGTTTGTTTCTGTGCCAGTACTAGGGCTTGAAATCAGGGCCTGGGCACTGTCCCTTAGCTTTTTCCAATCAAGGCTAGTGCCCTACCACTTGAGCTACACCTCTCTTTCCTGCTTTTTGCTGATTAATTGGGAATAAGAGTCTCACAGAATTTTTCTGCCTGGGCTGGCTTTGAACCCAGATCCTTAGATCTCAGCCTCCTGAGTAGCTGGGATTATAGGTGTGAACCACAATGCCATTTGAACTGGCTAAAATAGGGTTTATAGTCATTGTGGTCATGTGGATAGGACTGAGGGCTGTAGAACTAGGTCATTAGCAGGCCATTTTTAGCACTTGGATACTAGCTGTGTCCTAAGGAACTTATGATGGCAGTCATGAAGGTGGAAGATAATGGCACCTTCGTAAGTAATGATACTGGTAGCTCAGTATCAGCTCAGCCAGGCCTTGTGGCTCACACCTATAACCCAGCTACTCAGGAGGCTGAGATCTGAGGATCATGGTTCAAAGCCAGTTCAGGCAGTCTGGGAGACTCTCATCTCTCCGATTAACCACCAGAAAAAAAAACTGGAAGTGGCACTGTGGATCAAGAGGTAGGACACTCACCTTGAGCTGAAGAGCTCAGGGACAGCACCCAGGCCCAGAGTTCAAACCCCACAACCAACAAAAAAAAAAAAAAAAAAAAAAAAGGAGAAAGGAAAGAAGGAGGGAAGGAAGGAAGGAAGAAAATGGGAGGAGGGAGATTGTCTAAGCATCAAATTATCAGAGCCTGAGCATTCGTTTGTGAAGTGAAAGAGTAGGTGAAAGCAGGATTTCTCTGATTGGGCACTATTGGCATTTGGGGGCTGGGTTCTTTGTTGTGGCAGCCTGTCCATTGAAGAAATTTTAGCTGCATTTGGCTAGATGCCAAAGCACTAAAGCACTCAACTCTCCCAAAATTAAGGCAACCAAAGTTTCTTTAGACATTGCAATATTCCCTGAGTAGACAGAGAGGAGTTCTGAGTAAAATGCCTCCTTGTTGAGAACAACAACTGGATGGATGATCTTCCAGAACCCTCTCATCTCTGGCAGTCAGTGACCTGGGGCCTGAGGCTGGACACTGACAGGGGAACTGAGGAAAGAAGGTGAGGGGCAGTGAGTTGGGCCTTCCTCTTATCCCCGTGAAGCAGGGCCAGGAGGCAGGATAGGGGCTGTGCTAGCAACAGCCTCCCTTATGTGAACTCTTGGTACTCACCACTGTCATCTTCACTGCAGCTCCTGTCACCAAGAAGGCAGCTCCTGAGGCCAGCACTCCCTCAGAATCCTCCCGGACAGTGGAATGTAGCCAGGGCCTTTCCCAGGAGCCAGATGCCCCGCTGGAGAAGAATACCTCCAAAGCCTCCCTGAGCTCTCAGCATTCAAGGGAATTAGAGAAGAAGTTGGAGAAGGAGGTGGAGGAGGGTCTACCAGATGGCCAAGCGGGGCCAAGCACAGCACAGGATAGTCCTGGGCCCAGAGCTGAAGCCATATTTCTCCATGAGACGGTAAGGTGGCCCCACTGTTTTTCACAATCCCGGGAAGGCCTGTTTTATTTTTTTCAAACTTTGATGACACAATTTAAAGTAGATTTTAAAACATCAACAAAGAATAGATTCTAAAGCTGGGTGCTGATGGCTCATGCCTGTAATCAGAAGGCTGAGATCTTAGGAGCACAGCTCAAAGCCAGCTCAAAGCAGAAGAATCCATGAGATTCTTATCTCCAGTTATCCAGCAAATAACCAGAAGTGACCAGGACACTGGTAGTTAACCAGCAAATAACCAGACGTGACCAAGACACCGGTAGCTTCATGCCTATAATCCTAGCTACTCAGAAGGTTGAGATCTGCGGATTGAGGTTCCAAGTCAGGCTGGGTAGAAAGCCCATGAGACTCTAATCTTCAATTAACAACCAAAAAGCTGGAAATAGATCTGTGGCTTAAGTGGTAGAGTACCAGAGATTTGACCCAGGGGGAAAAAAAAAAAAAGCAAGAGCTCCAGGCACTGAGTTCGAGCTCCAATGCCAGCACACACACACAAGTATTGATTCTGTTAAAGAGATTTAGAAGGGAACCACCACTTCTACCCAAGCTTGTTTTTGTTTTTTTGTTTCTGTGTGGATTTCTCAGAGATCATCCAGGGACGGGAAGGGACCACCTAGCTCAGGTTCCCAAGGACAGGTTCAACTTTTAAGTCTTTTTGGCCTTGGTCACCATAAACCAGTGATATGTTCTTGGAATGTAATGACAGTAAATCCTAAAAACAGCACAAAACTTGCGTGTGGAATTCCAATTCCAGATGTGATCACCACCAGTGATGGTGGTACTGGTTATTTTCTTTTTCTTTTCTTCCTTTTATTTTTTTGTTGTCCTTGTTATTGTTGGTTGTAGGCCTGAGCTCTGGGCCTGCGCTCTGTCCCTGAGCTCTTCAGCATTTGAGCCACAGTGCCACTTCCGGCTTTTTTCTTTTTGCTTATGTGGTGCTGAGGAGTCGAACCTAGGGCCTCATGCTTGCAAAGTAAGCACTCTACCACTGAGCCACCTTCCCAGCCCGCTGGTTATTTTCAAGATAAGATCTCATATACTTTTTGGACCAGTCTGGCCTCTCAAATCACTACCTTTTCTCTCTCAGCCTCCCAAGTAGCTAGAATTACAGGCAGGCATGAGTTACTGGTACCCAGCCTTCCTTGTCAACTCATTAGCGGTAGACTGTTCCAAGGTTTTTATGAGATGTCTTTACCTAAGAAGATATGATGTGATTCCCTAGGGTCCACTGATGGGACCCTTCATCTAATCATTCCACTGTTCGCATGAGGGTCTTCTTGGGGCAGTGGGCCATCTTGTGCTATCTAAAGCCTGTATCCCTGACTGCATGAGGGATGTAGACCTGGGGAGCGGGAGGGCGGGTTTGCTCTGATTGCCTTCCCAGCCTTTATAATCTGTTCTCTCCCTAGTTAGAAGGAAGAGAGGATTGTCACCAGGATCGGCAAGGGTTTCTCTGAAGAATAGCTAAGAGGTTGAGAAACTCCCTTGACAAAGGGGTAGAGGATGTGATCTTAGAGATGTGAGACAGAGACTTCCAGGCAGAAACAACAAGATGTACCGTGAACCTAAGGTGGGAAAAGAGAGCCTGAGACACTTAAAGAATGAGATTGAAGGTGAACTTCAGGCCAATGGAAAACATTCTGAACATGTTACGTTTGGAATTCTGTCCTTAAAGGGTCACTCTTCCTGGGAGGTGAATGCTTGGGGAGGTAAGAGACAAGCCAGGGATGCCAGTTAGGATGTTAGGATGTGGCAAATGAGGTGAGAAAAGAGGGTGGCTTAGCCCAAGTGTGGAAATAGAGGTGGGAGGATTTGCAAATCAGTTTCTTGGTATTTTTTTTTTTCAGGATGAAGATGATCTGGCTAATGTCCTAAACTGGCCAGAAATTCAACAGGAGCTGAAAATCATTGAATCTGAGGAGGAGCTCTCCATCTTGCCACCACCCCCTGCTCAGAAGTTCGACCCAACTCAGCCAGTTCTTGAGTCAAATCCAGAGCCGTTTCCTTCCCCAGAGCCTCCAGGGATCTTGTATTGTAGCTCCACCCCTTCTGAGGCATGGACTAAGGACTCAACCATTCAGAACACACAAGGGGCTGCTGCAGCAGCCCACAGAGAGAAGCTGGAGCCAACCAGCTACCTCCCTGCATCCTCACCTGAACAGGCCCCAAGTCCAGATCCTGGCAGTCTGGCTCCTCTGGCAATAGTTCCATTTGAGAAGTCACCCTCGCCCCCAAGGATGAAGGTGGAAGGCCCAGAGAATATCTCTCCTCCACTCCCTCCTGCTGCTCCCCCTCCAACACCTCTGGAGGAGCCACCTGGAGGCCTGTTGTCCAAGGGCAGTCTTGAGGAAGAAGATCTGACTCAGATGTTGAGGACCTATTCCTATACAGAGCAGCCAAAGTCCAAAGACAATCCTGGGACCCCTATCCTATGTCAGGAAGATGAGGCTGCTCCAAGACAAAATGAAAAGCCACATTCAAAAAGTGCTGCTCTCCAGGAAAAAGGCTCTGGTTTCCCCAGCCCAACGAAAGAGCTCGAGATCTCGCCGCAAGGGAAGGGGGATGTAGCCCATTCAGTACAAGAGCCTTCAGACTGTGACGAAGATGACAGTGTGCCCGACATCGCTCAGCACAGCCTGGAGATGGTGGAGCCCTGGGAGGAGCCTCAGTGGGTGACGAGTCCCCTTCACTCTCCCACCCTCAAAGAAGTGCACGAGTCCCAGCCTCAGGGCCCCCAGAGCCATCGATTGGAAAGGAGGCTTTGCCACAGGCCCAGCCTACGCCAGAGCCATTCTCTGGATAGCAAGACCACTGTTAAGAGCCAGTGGACTCTCGATGATGTCTCCTTCTCCAGCAGCTGTGCTAATCTGGACTCTGAGAATTCTGACAGTCAGCAGCCGCTGGCAACCAGAAGAGGGATGATTGGATGGGACGAGAGAGCCCTGAAGTCGTTTAGAGAGTTCTCTGGCCTGAAAGGGGAAGAAGGATTTCCTAGGCGGAAGGGAACAGACAATGGACCACCCAAACCAGCAGACACCAGCCCCATCAGCTTAGGGGAGAGAAATCAGGGGCAACCACTAAGACACAGCAACTCCCAGATTAAGCAAGGCAGTGTCCCTGAAGCAGAACCCAACAGGGAAAGTTCCCGTGGTATTCAGGACAGCACTTTACCTGAAGAGCAACCCCCAAAGTTACAGTTGAAGAGCAGTGAGGGTGGACCCTCAAAAGGGAAAAACAGACCTTCTTCTCTCAACTTGGACTCTGCTGTTCCCATCAGTGACCTCTTCTGGCTTGAGAATGGAGCCTCGTTAAGTTCACCTGGAATGCAGCTCTCTGAGCCAGGAGACTCCCAGGTCCCCTGGATGACTTCATCTCAATGTAAAGCAGATTCCTGGAAGGTTTATCCTCAGGACACCCAGGACCTGGATGTTTTTCCTCACGCGCTCACTGGTCGCCGTAACTCAGCTCCTGTGAGTGTGTCAGCGGTGAGAACCTCCTTCATGGTGAAAATGTGTCAGGCCAAGGCAGTTCCGGTCATCCCACCCAAGATTCAGTACACACAAATCCCACAGCCCCTGCCTTCTCAGAACACAGGGGAGAGTGGGGCTCAGCCTCTGAAAAAGAGCCAAGAAGAACCTAGTTCAACGGGTGAGACCACTCAGAAACCAGCCAAAGATGAATCTTCCTCTTCCTTGGAAAGCCCAAAGGAAGAGAAACCAAAGCAAGATAGGGGACCCATTAAGGCTTCATTGATAGACGCCACTGACTCTTACCTGCACGAGGGACCCAATCTCTCTCCCGAACCAGGCATGTCTAACCTGCTCACCAACCAGGACGCAACAGTGCAATGCAGAAAGCGTTTGTCAGACACAGAGCCATCCGGGGACAACCCTCTTTCTTCAAAAATTGAGCGGTCCTCTGGAGGTCCTAAGTCTTTCCACAGGCCAAGGTCTGGAAGACCTCAAAGCCTCATCTTATTCAGTCCTCCTTTCCCGATCATGGATCACCTGCCCCCCTCATCCACAGTGACAGATTCCAAGGTCCTGCTGTCCCCTATCAGAAGTCCCACTCAGACAGTTTCCCCTGGCCTTCTCTGTGGAGAGTTGGCTGAAAACACATGGGTCACACCAGAAGGGGTTACCCTTAGAAATAAAATGACCATCCCTAAGAATGGCCAAAGACTGGAGACATCAACCAGTTGTTTTTACCAGCCCCAGCGGAGATCAGTGATTCTGGATGGAGGAAGTGGGAGGCAAATAGAATGATGTCCGTTCACCTGCAGGTGTCTGCGAAAGAATGTCATGACCTATCTGGAAGTTATTTACAGGGCCATCTCCCAGGCACAGATTATCTAAGCGTGAGCTTATTTTGACCTCCGACTTTTCTTTTTTCCAGCCTTTGACCATTCATTAATGATCCCATTTTCTAGAAGAGTGGCCAAGGGAAGGATCAAAAGGTAAAATTGAGATAAGGTCATATGAGCAAGAAGGAAAGGTTAGGCAAAGGAAGAGGATGGAATGTTTGCTGCCATTGAAATCTGGGTGAGTTGTAGTCCTCCCCCATTTCCATTATCTATTAGAGCTGAGAGCTGGCTGGGAGAATGTCCTTTGAAAGAAAGAAAAATCCATTGCGTGTCAGGAAACATTGCTATTGAGATTTGAAGGCCTTCTTCGTGCTTCTTAACACTCTTTAAAGCATGTGTTGTTTTAGATTCATTTACTAATAAGCTTTGTTAAAAGAAGCAAAATAGGGTGCAATTAGATTCCCAAGTCAGTAAATGTCACCACAAGTTGTTGCCCTGGGATCTTGCAGACCTGCCCAAGATGACTCTATACCAGCATAGAAAGGCAGAATCTGTAATCAAGCAAACCCTAAGACTGGCACCACCCAGGTAGACTTTCTGGCTGTGGCTCTCATTAACTTGGAACTCTGCCTACCACTATACTGATTTATCAGTGTTGTAACTGGGAACAATGGGGGTTGAACTGAGGATTGCTATTGGATCTTCTTTGTGGGTATCCATCAGCTTTCTTAACATCAGAATCTTAATGTGCCATTGGTCATTGATCATTGAGAAAAGTCTTCCACATAGGCACAATTTCAGGCAAACCTGATGTTTAAATTGCCAGGGCATTAGCAGAAACCATGTCTAGTTCAGTTTCAGTCTTTCTCTACTTGGCTAGGCAGGACAGAAAGGACACCAGAAGGATCAAACCCTAGAAAACTGGCTCTCACTACCACGCTCTGAAGCTGCTCTCTTTGATAATGAATTCCATTGGCCAGTGGATCCCTTCCCTTTCACTCCTTTTGCTCAAGAGTAGCTGTGAGGCACCTCTTCCCTTTCATAACTCCCCTTATTCACTACCCATCCCAGACATTCAGACTTGCTCTTTTCCCCTGGGTACCAGCAGAAAAATAAACCAATGTGATTTTCTTGAAGTTACTTAGACTTTTTAGTGGTTCTTTTCAGGTGAAGAGAGGAAGGAAAACTAACACAACCGATGGTAGATTTTTTTAATGTTCCCTAAAAGGCTTCATGGGACACCTCTTGTCACTTCCTTCCATGAGAAATTGCAAACATGTGCACGAGCACATGCACACACACACACACACAGGCACAATTTCTTCACTCTCTGATAAGTTTTATGGTTTTGTTATCTGTCCTATGCCTTTTAAGCATAGGGTATCTGATGTATCAACTAATGAGTCTGTCTTCAGAGGGCATTGAGATGACACAGGGTGTTTAATAGGCCTTTGGTGAGTGTTTTTGCTTTCTCATTGAAGAGTCAAGATATTGGACCAACAGCCAATGAGATACCAACCCACAAGAAAAGTCTTAGAACATATTATTATCCCCCTAGACAAGCAAGTGAAGAAATACGGTGGTGAGACATGAGAAAGACCATGTTCGGGAGATTTGAAAGCACATTCCTGCCTTATCAGAGACTGTGGTAGATAAGTTTTGTGTCAGTCTCATTGCACTGTGGTGCCTATACTTTGATAAGGCTCATGTTCCAGTTAGAAGGCAAGAGGGCAACAACCACACTGCACTTCGTCAGAACTGAGCCAAGTAACAAACTACCTATGATCACTGAAAGTTGTTTGTAATACATGTAGAATATATATTTTGTTGTTGTTGGGGATAGACTGAGAAGCTTTATGTACATGTTAACAAGTGTCTCCAGTTCTGAGGACTGAGGCACCTCTGTCTTATTTATAAAATGGCTGCCATGTTCTTAATTTAGATCGACACCGTTCATTTATGGAATCACCTTAGGCATGTGGCATTGTCAATGAGCATGTCACTGACAGCTGTCTGGATTTGTTCCCTACCCCAAGCCTTTCTAAGCCAATTTCAATCTAGAAGGGCTGGGAAATGACTCGCCTCACAACCACCTTCTATTGCTCACGCGTCGTGTTTCCTTAAAAAAATTATTTTGTAGTTTTACAAATTTCAAGTAGTTGTACAAAAAAGGGGTGGGAGTTACAGCTTCATAATCTTCTTCTGACCATTTCACAGTGTGTCAACGGTTACATACATATTTATAAGCTTCTTGTGGGCTAGGCACATGAAATTCTAGCCCACGAACAATCATTCCCCCAAATATGCTGGGATTACCCATTTGGTCATCACTTGGGGCACTGAAAACTAGACACCTCCCTCCTGAAAAAAATAAAATGGCTGGATGGGTAAGACTGTGAACTTTCTTCCAGAGAAGGGGTAGAAAAAGGCTGGATGTTCCCAGGAGGCTCTGTTAGATGCCCTGGAAAGCACTGCAACTCTTCAACCATCAGTCCTTCAACTGAGGTCACTGATTCGTTACTGAAATTGAAGTGGAATGTATGCATGTACCAATGTTTTCTTTCAGTGTTTTCTTTTTATCAAACTGGACCAGATGGAGGATATTTTTTTATTCTCTGCCTCACTTGAAATATGAAGAGACCTGCCCAACTCTCCAGTGGCCTACTCTAAGCTCTAAAATGTTAAGTATTACCCATCAAAATTCTACATTCTGAGGACATCGAGAATATAAGTAGCATCACTCACTCAAGAAATATTTATCAAGAGCTTAGAAATATTGTACTTGTGGACCTTAGTATGCCAAAATTTTTGAGGAGTCTAAAGCAAAAGGATGAGAGATGGAGAAAGTGAGACAATGTAAGAATGAAGAGCAAGGTTGAGAATTTTTGGTTATCAAATGACAGAAGAGGATGGACAAGGAACAGCTAAGCATCTTTCACTGGTATTAGTAGTATTTAATTGATCTGGTTGCAGATCTATGCAGAGTCACTCCAGAGTTGAACACTTGCTTTGATTTTAAAAATTGGGAGTCATAAGCAATTAAGAACAAGCAGTTCAGGGCTGGGAAGGTGGCTCAGTGGTAGAGCGCTTGCCTTGCATGCCTGAGGCCCTGGGTTCGATTCCTCAGCACCACATAAGCAAAAAGAAAAAAAGTTGGAAGTGGCGCTGTGGCTCAAGTGGTAGCGCTAGCCTTGAGCTGAAGAGCTGAGGGACAGCGCCCAGGCCCAGAGTTCAGGCCTCACAACTGGACCCAAAAAAAAAAGAACAAGCAGTTCTGATGTTGTATGGGGTCATGACTGGTTTGGTTGTGAAGTCCTGTTAGATCTCTACAAATGAGCCAGGTGAGATCAGCATTCCATACTCCTGGAGAAAGGATTTTAGAGACATTGATGATCACAAAGTTAGTTCTGCTGTAGAAGAAGTCAGGCTCAAAATAAAACTCTTCATCTCCTGCAGAATGTTCACCACATTGTTGAGTGCACTAAAATTGGGTGGGGCAATCATTGTCTACCTTGTGTCCCAGAACGTAAGATTCATTATGGTTAGGACCACATTTGGTCATGGCTGGTCTTACGTGATGACATGAATCTTCAAGGTGTGTAGAATAATGTGTCCTCCTTTGCCAACACCTTTCTTAGCAAAATAGGGCTAGAAAAGGGAGTGAGACTTTCCCAGGCATGAATGAGGGGTGGAGGGGTAGGAGAAAAGGTTGACTTCGATCAGCACCAGTAGATAGTATTTATTTAGGGGGTCACACAGATTGACTGGCACACAGCAAATCCCTTAGGAACCCTGAGGATACCTGAGCAACACAGAGACATCTGTGTGTGATAGAGGACATAGCTAATATGAGAATTTCATGATGTCCACAGTGATGATTTTACTGGATGAGCCATAATGCTTTGCATTAACTAATGCCATGTACTTTCTGGCTTATGACTGCAAAGTAAAGCACTTTTTCAAAGAAGCCTATTTGAAAACATGATTGCAGCTGTTTTTTTTGAACTCTACAAATATTTTCAAATCTTTTTCTATTCATTATTAAGCATATCCATAGAGACATCTAAGTGTAATTAAAAGATTGTTATGCTTTAAAAAATGTACTCTAATAAATGATATAAATGCCTACCATGGAACTATACGCTAGATGATGTGGGATCCTCAAAATGAGCAATTAGAGAAGTAAATTATATGCATCAGACTCATTGTTCTTTGTTGAATGTCATCTTTCATTACTTCAAGGTCTGGCACCACAACAGAAGTCCTGATCATCTGCTTCAGAAGGCTTTTCTTGCTTTTGATATTTTACATCTCAATAATAGCCAAGTGTTTGCAACTTTCTCACTGTAGCAATCATGGTCATTTCACCAAGGTCCCCATAATGTTCTGTATCGAGGAGAATTTGCAGTGAAAACTAAGAAGAAAAAAAAAGCTTACTGCTTCTTGTAAGCCCACAGTTAAAGGGGTCATGTGAGTCTACTACGAAGATGTGAACTCAGTTTTTCTATTATTGGAATCAGTGAGGGACAACTAGTAAGTGATCAATCATGTTAACAATGTTTTAGGAGAGAATGCAAATGTTCACTGTCCTGGTATAATTTTAATGAAGATGGGGTTCAAAGGTACAGGAGGAACAATTATAGTCTTGTCTCCTCACTGTGTAGTGTTGACACATCTGGGTTTCAACAGAGCTCCCATAAGGACATAACTTTCCCTGTACTAAAGGCTGCATTCTTGTACGTCACACATTTTACAAAGGGTCACAAAACATCCTTCCAGTTCTCACTTCTCCTTCTGCATTTTTAAATCCCACGTGCTTTTTTGCAGCCCAAAGTAGTCGTCCCCTATTTCCAAGTCATTCTGTTTCCAGCTGCTAGAACTCTGCTTCCAATGAGGTTTTTGTCACCACTGTATCTCATAGATCCTCCTTCCTGAAGGATTATCATCTATTGTCATTCCTGAGATAACTGATTGATCTGCTATTAGCAAGTTAACTCTGAATATTCCTATTTCTGGTACCCACTAATATGTAACACAGTAACTGCCTAGTGAGCAAGACAGGGAAAGAGATACCAATGGTGGTGATGATTGGGAAGTGGGAGAAAGAGTATAGGGTCTATGCAAATAGTCTACCAAGGAGCATTCCCATCACATTCATTCCTGGGAACCACATTCTTCTACTGCCAAGGTATCTTCTCACCTTAGGCCACCCATACAATAGGGAAGCGTAAGGTCTCCAGTTGATCCAACTGATCACTTCCTAATCTTCCTTTCCGTATAATTGCACAATTATATATCTCAACCCCAAAAAAGCATTTTTTAGGGTCCATGCATCACTAGGAGTGGCCCTTATATAACCCGCTAACCCAAGTAACTAGTCACTTCCACTCTCCCTTTTTAACACCTACAAAGGACAAAAATAGGTAAGTAGCATGGTGAACTGAAGGGTTCTAATGCCCTGATGCAACCACATCCAAATATAAAGGCAAGGACTCTGCCATTCCAACAGCTAGTATCTAGGCTAGTATCTGCTACTATAGAATTAAGCCAATTAGACTATAGTCTAATTTTGGATGCTAGAGCCAAGTTGGGGCTTTTTCTTTTTGAGACAGTATCTGGTGTAGTCTGAGCTGGCCTCAAACTGGTAATCCTTCTGTCCTAGCCTCCTGAGTCCCAGGATTACAGGCATGAGCCAACCCTAGCTAACTTGGATCCCTTTTAATGAGACAAGTGTGGTCATGCTACCAGTTTGTCTTCAGCTGTCAAGTAATTCCAGTTTGTTAGCTGAGGGAAACATCAAGACAACAATGAAAGCAGCGAGATGTTCCCTGCTCTTTCTTCAAAAGAACTTTTAGGTTGAACCACTTCTCTGAATAGCAACTAACTTCATACACTGGTTCTCTTGTTAATTCTCCCAATATATCAACTTGTCCCCACCTAAGGCCAACAGCCTTGCTCCTATAACATGGATCATCTCACCAAAGCTATTTATTTGGCCCAATCTTGCTGTGTCTGATACCCAAAATTCATCTCCTCAAAGATGCCTTGTCTACCATCTCTACCACTTTGTTCCCCCATCCTGATTACTCTTTATTGCACCTATCACCACCAGACACATTTTATATAGACTTATTAC